CGGCCCGGAGCCCGCTCCCGCACGGGGCCCCCGCCCGCCGCCGCCTGCCTGTCCCGGACACCGGGGCTGGGCCTTCGGGGTCTGGGTGGGGGGACGGAGGGGAGGGCCCGGGGGACGAGCGCTTACCTGAGCCGGGTCCCTGCGCGCGGCCGCCGCCATCGGACTCTGTGGCGGAGCGGACACCCGGACCCGCGGTCCCCGTCCCGGCGCGGGGCAGCCCGGGCGGCGTCGCCAGCCGCGGACCCCAGGGGACAGCGCCTCCTCTCGCGCCTTCCCGGTCCTGTTACCTCAGTCTCCACCGGCGCATCAAAGTGTGTCATTCAGCGACAGACCTAAGAGTAGCCAAAACAACCGCCACGAAGAGGACGCCGAAGTCCCGCCCCGACGTGATGCGCACGCACGAAGTTGCCCTTCTCAGGAGCCTTCATTAGCTACACGCCGACGGCGCTCGGCGCAGCGCCCTCTGGGTAATGTAGTTCTCACAGCTCGAAAAGCCTTGGCGCCGGTCGTCGCTCACCTGGAAACCCATGGGGAAGGACTGAGAGGGAGAGATACTGAGAGGTGGTGTCTCCAGCTTCCGGGTGGGGGAGGGCCTTCTCTCCTTCAAGGGGCTGCACTTAAGATTTATGAGGAGTGTTGTCTGCCACTGATCACCTGTGTTTTATCGCTTCTCGGCCTTTTGACTAAGATCAAGTGATCACCTGTGTTTAGAGACATTTCAGACTTCTTGAAGCTTAGCAAATGTTCTTCCTGAATTCTCAAAGTGTTATTTCAGATGCTCCCAATGACTATAAATCTGTTCTAGGGTCATTCAGACACAAAATGTATCCACCTAATAGTTTATCTTTTTTCTTTTCAAGTGCCTCTAGCTTGAAACGTTAGAGTCAGTTTTGTGAATTTCAGTATGCGGGGTCAAGAACAAAAGAAAAAGACTCCACACAGGGACAGAACAGAGAAGATACAAAAGGGATGTTAGGCTGCTGTAAAGCAGGAGGACAAGGGTGGAACTCTGTTTTGGGTTCCCACAGAAAATGACTCTCAATGATCGTGTCCAACTCTGAGGAACATGGGTTTTATATCCGTATTTCTTACTCCATAGCCTTAGATACATCAGTTCCTTTTAGGAATCTGACAACTATTTAAAGAGCCACTTACCAAATGTCATTTTGGAATAGGACAGTGTCTACAGTGTTCCCAATATGGGAGCACATGTGCAAAGGGGATACCATGAGGTAAGGTTTTGGGACACCAAGATCTCATCCATTTGATGGGAAGTTATTATCATTCCTACTGTATTGCAGGGAGGGTGTCTGTATGAGGAGTGCAATTATCTCAGAAAAAGTTGTGAAATGAAAATCACTGAAAACCATTAATAATGATTATGTAGTCATTCGAAGATAGTGGCAGGATAGCTCTGGGAAAACATCAGTAAAGGGTTGAAAAAAATATTCCTACTAACTTCCACTAGCAAATTATGCCTAGAAATGAAAAAAAAAAGGTGTATGCCAATAATGGCTATAGAAATGCTAAAAGAATACTCAGTAGCTGTGAGTTAAACACACCTTCTTACTGATCTTCACTTCATGCATAGTGGAGGCTTCAGACTGGGTATTGTGAGGATCAGTCAGTTTGGTCAGAGATGAAAGATGAACTCAGGCTATCAGAGAGAACACGGAAAAGTAGGTAACCCTAAAGCAAGTAGACAAGGGTGACATGTCTCTGGGTCCCTCAGAAACCATCCCAGTGCCTCTCTTTGTATTTATGTCCCAACCCAAACAAGCAGAATTGATTTTCAAGATAATATTTATGATTTGCATAATGTTCTATTCTTATAATTTGACACTTATCTGGAAATAGCACTTACCAAATTGTCACTTGCTGCCAGGACAGTGGCTGTTATGGTTGTATCGATGCACGTGTAGAAAATGAATATATGAGCCCTGAGATAGAGGTCTCTGTATCTGTGATCTCATCTCTTTCTGGGAAGTTATTATCATTTCACCTCTAATTGCTGTGACTGCATCTACATGAAGAGTTGAGATGATCTCTGCAAAACATTTGAAAAACGTGCAAGTCCCTGAATGCTACTGATATTAATGTTACCCATAAAAAGTGCCAGTAATACCAGGGAGGATACATATCTTTAATTATTGATATAATTTAAATATCAATAGCAGGTGACCAAAGGACCTTCTGTCCTATAAAATAAGGTAATGATGTGAGCAGACTACATTCTGGGTTCCTGGCTATCCTGAGGGTTTGTCTCCAAATGTGATGTCTTAAAAATCCTTGTGGATACTTAAAAATACCAGATTTGAGGGAGACACAGAGAAAGAGAATTAAGAAAACATTTCTAGTGTAGTAAAGATGAACAAGGAGGCAGTGGTGTCTCATTTTTTTTATTTCAATAAACATTTATTGAGCATATTGGTGTGTTAGTCTTTTTGGTGGGTTATGTCTCAGGAAACAAGACAACAAACCCTATCTCATGTTGCTTATAATCATATTAAGGATATTAATCAGAATAATAAAAGTAAATATAAACAACATAGTGTCTTTTAAGGGGATAGGTGCTTTGAAATAGAAAACAGGGTAACAACAATGAGAAGTGCAGGAGAGTGCAGATCGGTTGTGATATTAAAGAGCGTTTGTCAACTGTCCCTCAATAAAGCTGGAAAAAAAAGAGAGTTGAGTAGGCTGCTCCATTAATAAAAGAATGTGGGGGGGAAGGGTGCCTGGGTGGCTCAGGTCATGATCCCAGGGTCCTGGGATCGAGCCCCGCATCGGGCTCCCTGCTCCACAGGAAGCCTGCTTCTCCCTCTCCCACTCCCCTTCTTGTGTTCCCTCTCTCGCTCTGTCAAATAAATAATAAATAAAATCTTAAAAAAAAAAATAAAAGAATGTGGGGTTAACCATTTGTATAGCCTTGTGTTCCACAGAGGAAACAACTAGAATAAATGCCCTGGGCCAGTGCATACCTTTCATGTTCCAGTTAGAGTAAGAAAGCTAATGCAACCAAAAGCGTGTGAGTGAGGAACAGCTTGGTAGAAGGTACTTTGGATCATGAAAGGCACTGTAGGCCACTGGAAAAACTTTCCATTTTACTCAGATTGATAGAGGAATCATGACAGGAACTGGAACATCATGCTAAGTGCCTGAATGAGAAATGAAGAGAAGGTGGGCTGAGTAAGTGAAGAGAGGTAAGGTTAAAAGCCAATGGATGACTAGCTAGATGACTTATTACAGACATCTAGGTGAGAGGGAATGAGGTCTGCAATCAAAGTTGGAGCGGTACTGGATACAGCATCATTAGACACTTGATATATTCTGAAGTTATTTCTTTTAATCCCTAAAGGATTTTCAGCTGGGTTGCAGATAGGGCATGAACATAAGAAAGGTGTGGAAAAGGACTCCCAAACTTCATGCATGAACAGAATCGGTGAACTGCCATCAGCTGAGATTGTGGGAGAGCAGCAGAAATGGGTTAGGAGGGAAGATCAGGAATTGAGATACCAACATAGTTAAGTACAAGATGCCTGTTAAGCATGTGAATACAGCTGTCAAGGCAGCAGGCACATCTCTAGAATTTTAGACAGTAGTGTTGACAGAAAAGTAAGTCTGAAAACTGTTAGTTTGTAATTTCCTAGGAGCTATTGAAAAGATGAGACTGGATGAGATTACCAAGGGGGTGACTTTAGGTGGAGTAGATGAAAGGAAAATAGGTTGGTGTGCAGGGAAAGTCCAACACTAATTCTTTGGGTAGAAAAGGAGAAACATTACAAACTATTTCTCAGTTGGATAGTAACAAGTCTCCTATGTCTGTCTCAGCCTATTGAAAGCGAGGCTACAGCTAGAAATGCCTAAGGTACTTGCCTGGGTCATACTACTTGTGGTGAGCCCCACAGAGCCAATGTTCGTGGTTGGACTGGCTCCTGTAGCTTAAACTCAAAACCCTGAGATCAAGACCTGAGCTGAGATCAAGAGTCAGACCCTTAACCAACTGAGCCACCCAGGTGCTCCTGGCTCTTGTAGTTCTTACTACGACTGCAAGTTGCACTTTGGCAAAAACCATCAGCGAATTTCGAAGAACAAGATTTATTACTCACAGGTCCCGGAGGGTACAAGGCATGCCAAGGGCCGCATAGCAGGTCAAGGGTAGAGAGGAAGAGAGGAAGCTTGGACCTGGGGCTCTGCCTCTATTGTCCAAGGGTGGGGTGCCCAGGTTTTGCAGGTTCACTAATGCTTTAAATCCGCCAATAGTGATTTAAAGTTAAGCGGATTTAAAGTGTAAAAGTGGGCTGGACGTTAGGGTGTAGGGAGGTCACTCAAGCAATCAGTTATCTAGGTTACTCATGGCTTTCTTAAAGGGAAACTTAGCTTTTAAAAAAAATGCCTGGGTGGCTCAGTCAATTAAGTGGCTGCTTTCGGCTCAGGTCATGATCCCAGGGTCCTAGGATCGAGTCCCGCATCGGGCTCCTTGCTCAGCGAGGAGTCTGCTTCTCCCTCTGCCTGCCGCTCCCCCTGCTTGTGCTCTCTCTCTCGTTCTCAAATAAATAAATAAAATCCTTGAAAAAAAAAAAAAAGAAGAATGTTCCACATTAGCTCCAGTCATAAGGCCTTTCTCCACTCTGAGTTCTCTGATGCTGAACAAGGTTATATTTGCACATAAAGGCTTTGCCACATTTGACAAACTTGTAAGGCCTTTCTCCACTGTCCTCTCTCATGCATAATGAGGTTGGCTGTCTAAAGGATTTCCTACAATGACCACACGCATAAGGCCTTTCTCCAGTGTGAATTCTGCAGGGTATGGTAAGATGGAAGCTTTGACTAAAGGATATACCACATTTGCCACATGTATAAGGCCTTTCTCCAGCACGAACTGTCCAATGGTCACCGAGGTAGGAATTTTGGCTAAAGGACGTCCCACATTCCGGGGTGCCTGGGTGGCTCAGTCAGTTGAGTGTCTGACTCTTGATTTTGGCTCAGGTCATGATCTCAGGATTGTGAGATCAAGCCCCGCATGAGGCTCCGTGCGCATCGCGGAGTCTGCTTGTCCCTCTGCGCTGAGTATGGAGCCTGCTTGACTCTCTCTCCCCCTCTGCCCCTTACCCCCCACTCGCTCTTGCTCTAAAAAAAAATAAGTAAAATTTAAAATTAAAAAAAGGATATCCCACGTCATTCATTGCACTTGTTAAGGCCTTTCTCCAGTGTGGACTGCCTGGAACTGAACCAGTGAGTATTTCCCAGAAAACGCTTTCCTACTCATAAAGCCTTTTTCCAGCGTAGACTCTGAGATGGTGATCAAGAATGTCTTTGTGGTGGAAGCTTTCTCACATTCACCAGATGTGTAATGAGTTTTTTCCACTGT